GTGTGTGTGTGTGTGTGTGTGTGTGTGTGTGTGTGTGTATAGAGCGTTATAGCCACAGGGCAGGGAAGTCAGCCTGGAACGGCTGAATATGATTGAGAGTGAGACATGGTCTCAATATAACTCTGCAATTTGTTTCGATGGGGATATTTTTGCTCATACAGGAAATACCTGCCATGATTTGGATGCAAAAGGTTTTTCGTATTCGCTGTTCGAATTGGAGCATGGCAGTTGTCTGGGTTCCTGCCTACTCATTTCCCTAATGTTGGTTTTGTTGGTAGGCAATTGTACGAGACTTTTCTGGTACAGAGTGGCCGAGGAGTCAGTCGATTCTACCTCCGACTGTTCACTCTTGGCGATTTGTTCAATCTGATTGGGTGTCTACTTGCCGACCAATTACACACTCAAGTATGCTCGAGCGGATTTACTATTGCACCTCCATGACGCCCATGACTTTCGAAGTTTTCCTGCTCACAGAAGGGTGTCCTAATTGAGCATTTTAACATAGAGTGCCAGTTGTAGCAAGTATACATTAGCAGCTCTCTCGCAACGCAGCTTTGTCTGTGGAGTTGTTCGGGCTCCTGATGTCGTTTGTATTAAATTTTCAAATGAATTCATATTTGATTCCGTAAACCTGATTTAGCTGGCGCTGATAGTCTCTTAATATATCTCTCCGCCATCTGGCCGTATCTAATGTTTTTGCTTTCTATCGGCTGTTTCAGGTCTACTTGGGCTTCTGGTTCCTAGCGTTCGATCTCGTGCTGATGTGCCAGCTTACATACTATGACCGTGGAAAAGGTAAAAATGTGGTGATGCCTCGGTTTGCGCGTGACTGTAACTGGGAGTTGCTAGGTTTCAGTTATGCACTTGTTTCATATTCCGCTAGCTCATATTTGGATGCCGTGGCTGGTACAGGGGAAACAATAAGTGCTCCAACAGGTTCATGCCAACGACGACACCATAGACATTGTACGATAGTTTGTAACCAGTGTTTTTTATTAATATACGACACTAACTCAATGCGATTTATCACTCACATCAGCTGACCTGCAGTACCATCTGATCGATGCGAACAACCCGTCGAGCATGATCATAACTCCGTCGCTCAGCAACATTCTGAATGCCTCGGACTACGGTTCCTACAACCAACACAATCAGCCGAACAACAATCGTCATAACAGCGCCAACGCCAACACCAACAGAACGCGTGTATATGAGCAAAATCAGTACTCGCACACTGGCGACGGCATCTTAAGCGATCAGAGCAACTCCATGAGCGATGCGCATGCTTACCAAATTAGCACAGCAACCTCAATTCCACAACAGGTCTTTGACTCACCAGGTGTGTGTGAAAATCAAGCGTACCCGGTTGCCGTTTTTATTTACTTGCTTATTCAAACTTCTAGTGTAGTACATCTTCTCACGATATTTGTTTGGTATCCGTAACAGAGCGTTCTATATCGAGCATTTCTACTTGCTTTCTTATTTGATTTTGGCCACCTAAATATTGCAGGAGATGATACATCCTTACTTTCCTATGGTTCGTCGTTTGGCGGCACACCATATGGGTATTGCTCGCCCTCAGTAGGGTCGCGCATACTCGAGAACGTATGTCGTTCATTCTTTTCTATGATATTTTAAGGCCTAGACTGCCTTTTAGAACTTAATATATATATACAATTCTTATATTCATATATTCTTATATATATATATATATATATATATATATATAATAATAACACATAATGTAGTTAGTTAGTTATAGTATAGTATAGTATATATATATATATATATATATATATATATATATATATATATATATATTCATTTATATTCGTATCGATATATCTATAGCTATAGCTATGCGGGTATCGTATGTTTTCACATTCACAAATCACACTATCTCGCGTAAATTTGAATAGACACATTTACTTGTAACCATATGACGCACGAGTGATACATTCATCAGCTTGATAGACGCGCTTACACAAGAGTACACAGTCTGCATTTTCCTGCCTCTGTCTCTGGTAGTTTAGAAGTGTGTACCTACGAACCCATGAGTCGTGATTTCTATAGACCAACGTACCTAACCCATTTCCTCGAGAACGTTAGAACTCATCCAATTCATATACTCGAGGAAGCTACAAATCGTCAGCTGACGTTTCCTTCTCCATCTGATTGACTGACTATCTGCCTGAGCAGAGCGATCACATCGCCAGTCGCTCCAATAGCATCTCTTCGCGAACAGGCATGGACCAGAGTTTGTTCACGTTCTTCAACGAACGCACAAGAGAAATCGAGTACGACCCAATGCGACGGGCGAGTTTCCATCGATCCAGTAGCACTCTCACGCCGCAAAGGTTAGTACATTGCCTGTGGTATCTATACACTTGACCGTCGAATATGGTAGGTAGTAGGTTTTTTTAATTTCTCGTCTTATGTGGACTTGCTGCGCTTGTCGTCAATGGTAATCTCCCTTGGTATCATTGTCTTGAGGACCATACCGGTAAAAGACAATGTTTTTCAAGTGGAATTATTGCGATTGCTTTCGATTGTTTTCTATGGCGTGTTTTTTATTTTGCATTGTCGTATAAAGCGCGAAGACAAGTATTTAATTTGGTACTTCCTTATTTCATTTTGTCGTTATTTGATTTGGTACTTCTTTATTTCATTTGACTATATTTAATTTGGTACTTCTTTATTTCTAATTTTGACTTAGTACACCTGCACCTGATATCCCACACACACGACTATATGAGCAAATTCAACTAATTGCTCACCTTTCACGTCTTAGCGTACGCACCATTATGGCCATGCCTCTGCGTATACAACTACCTACTATATTATTTTATCGACATAGACGTAAATGTAGCTCATCGCAACGCTCCTTCATACACAAAATCATACCAACACATCATGCACTTGTCTACATCATACTGATCCCCAGTCAAATGCAATTCGATCTGCAGGCAGAGTCATGATGAGAGTCACATGGCAGAATCGCGCGGCAAAATTGCCAATAGAGTGAATCACAGACAACCAGGGGGGTCAGCGCGGACGTCTGATTCTCCAGACACAGGCACTGTGCCCAATGGTCAAGCACAAAATAACTCTACTCGCCTGTTATCGGTGGGCGTGGTTGCCGCTTTATGCCTGACCGCGCTTGTATACAGCAGCGAGAGCCATGTAGGAAGTGCAGATACTACGACGTTAAACAGATTGCCAGGGTATGTCGCAATATCGCAGATGTCTTTTGTATCTGGTGCCGAGTGCATGGGGTTATTGATATTTGTGCTCGCCCGAAAGTTTGCGTGATGTACGCAAGAGTTTGTCAACCACCTCCCTACAAGCAGACCCCAAGTCATGACTGTGATAACAACTGTGAGGACCAGAGACTCGGTTGGCAGTAAATTTTATCAGAGAATTGCCAATACTGTGCAGACAAATTTGCGCGGTGTTCTGTTGTTTGGTGATCTGTTGATGTGTCGTTCCGTGTGTGATGCTCATTCGTACGGCTAGTCGCTTGTGCAATGGCCACGCGCAGGCTACAAACCAGACGGTACTTTCCGATGCTGTGACATGTGTGTCGTACTGCTTTTTATGTGGGGTATCAATTCTTTTCAGAAAAGATGCCACACTCCTGTACAGTCCATTTTTTTGTAATGATTTCGGCCAAATGTTGTTTAGATCCCTATGTCAAGGTTCGCTTGACACAATGTACGATGCCGTCCTGCAGTCTGCCTGCACTGATCTCCCTCTCATACACACACTTGTTCAACCCAGTCGCGTACTCATGGGAACCGATGGCAGCACGGCCAATGTCTTGTATGACGAAGACCTGGGCATCCTAAACCTCCTGGGAGTTGGGTTTGGCATATTGAGTGCTACTGTGTACCTGTTCGCGCGGATACCGCAAGTCGTCAGAATATGCCGCTACGGCGCTGTGCCTGTAAGTATAAGTATAAGTATATCTTGTGTAAGTATTAGTATATCTTGTGCCTGATTGTGTATATTGGGTGTAGTGTATCTTGGTGTTTATGGACATGAGTTGAGCTGCGTGAAGCGTTGCAGTGGACCGGTAACGACAAATAAGTAGGAGACGCAGTTGAATTGGTGCCACCTGGGCCTGCTGAACGCATTACTCCATCGGTGGTCTGTCTCCCGAATGGTCTCGTGGCATGAGTGCGGACTAGTCTAGTAGCTCCCGTATGCGGAAATTATCTTAGCTAGCGTACAGCTGTCTTTGCTGGCTCAGACTACGATGCCCCTGAGCCACTACATACTAGTACTTTGTAGTATCGTGCACACCAGCTATATTTGAAGTCGGACTTCATTTATTTTGGGCTTTATTTTACTATTATTCTTTGTACAGTTTAGACTAGTCTCACTGTCAGCCTGATAGATACTAAGTGTCTCTTCTACGCCATGTAGATCACCGGTGTGTGTGCCTTTGTCATGTGGTTTATTTTACTCTTATTCTGGGTACAGTTTAAGCTACAGTTTAAGCTAGTCTCACTGTCAGCCTGATAGTTACTAAGGGTCCCTTCTACACTCATGTAGATCACCGGCGTGGGTGCCTTTGTCATGTGGTGCGGAATCATCGCCAATGTCTGCTACGGTGCATCCGTGGCCGTCTACTGCCTCAACTGGACGGAGTTTGCCATCAGTATACCCTGGCTGCTGGGCAGGTATGTGACCAGACTGGGATTGGTTGTTTTATGTTTGTGTGCCCAAGTAGCTCCGCTATATGGGGCGGATCAAATGATACCATCGCTTTCTTCGAGGCTATTGACTTGCTTGCGATTGGAATGACACTCTGTTTACTGCTAAACTTGGACTCGAATATAATACGGTGAAAGTACACGCCTGATACACATAGACAAACGAAAACTATTTCCTACTTATTGCTATTGCCCTGAATATTAAAGAATGAGTGTGCATGACGATCATATCTCAATAGTACGGCTATGCTATTCCCGTTTGTCACCAACCTAACTTACATGCAGATGTTCAGAAATAAATGCACTTTCATACCATAGTAGCCCGTTGAACTCGCATATATTGCTGATGATTGCAGCCACTTACACCCCCTAATTCATCCCTTATACAATCCTTTTGTAGTTCGGGGTGTGTTCCGCTGGATATGGCCATCTTCCTGTTGCCTGTATGCTACCATGTACCTCCACAAAAGAGCCAAAGGCCCCCACCACCCCCTAGCCCGAGCCTGGACATAGCGTCAGTACAAGCGTTTCGCGATAGTTTGAGAAATTTGCACGCTTCAGAACAATTAGCTCCATAATCAGATACGTATGTGAATACGTACTGAGTACCTAGCATAGCAGTGTGGGGTATTGTGGGTTTGTTGGACACAAATATATTCATAATCTGATAAGATATGGCGACCTTAGTTGATCTGCAATAGCTACATTCTCACATTGTTTGCCGACAGAATCATGGCCTCTATAAAGTGAGTACTCAGCCGGTGTCGCGAACAATAGTACGACCTATTGTAGCGTTATTAGTGGTCCATCGACCCATATGAACTGGGCAGGGCCGACATAGGTTCTGATGAGAGCAGCCCAGACGGCAGTATCTGTGCGATATACATGCTCTGTCTCTATTGGTTCAGAAGCACTGCCCCACAGATAGTCAGACCGTCACGTGCGCCTATATGTGTTGCCCGAGCACAAAGCGATACAGCAGTGCACGCGTACTGGAGATGTGCATTGCATTGATATGTCCATGACAGTCGGTGTGCGCTGTGTGTAAACGTTTTCGGCAAGTCGGCGCTTTTCTAGCAAACCCACAAGCAGAAGCCTTGGACCGGCGCCCAAGGCTAAGCGAGATGTATCCAGTACCTGGTGTTTTAGCGTAGGCTCGTCACTCGTGAAGCGATGTGTTGGTCGGAGCGTAGACAATCCCTCGCAACTGAGCGTCCTGGTATTCCTGTATGGAAGTGGAAGGCCCAACATGGCGCCTGTTTTTGTGACTGCGCCTTAGTTCAGCGGCACTCACAGATAAGCACTGGTTGCTTGCCTTGTCCTTGTACTATCTGTACGTTAAGCCCGATTGCCCCTGAGATCCTGCTCCTGCTGACAGTAGCCTTACTCGCTTCGCCATCCGCGTCTTTAACATGAACGATATCCCCGCACATAGTTTCCGATTCGGGGATAGCCAAGCTTTCGTTGTAGGACAATCTGGCATCACTGTGTTGTCACAAACATCCCTTCGTCCCATTGTTCATGAATTGACGCGTGTGCCACGCTTTTGAAACGAGAGCTCGCACAGCACCCCCTTCTCCACAACTGCACATGCGATGTCGATGATGTGCGTACAACAAGCTGAGCATGTTCCGGGATGTAGCTGACCGGCTGTCTACGCTTCAACACAATAAAGCTGTACCAAAATTTAAATAGAAAATTCAACTGAAACCACCCCATGAAGACGTACAAGTGCACGCACCGACTCAGGGCTGTGTTCCATGTGGGGACATTTGGTTTGGATATGTAAGACAGATGAATACCGAACCTTTCAAAAGCTCCGTTATCTAGCAAGATGTGTAGGTTAGACTCTGGAGTCAAAGATCCTGGTGTGATCCGATCATACATCAACAGCGCATCCGTTATGATTGCACCAATTGTTAGTGTTTTCATCCGCCAACTAGGCTATGTCTGCCAGTGTTTTGCCCGCCCCTACGACCAGTTCAATAGGTCGTTCCTTATCATGGCCTGCCTCGACTATCAATTAAACCTTTACTATGCAGCAGTACGTTTTGGTAGGCGGTATGAACATCTGACAAGTGTGAGATCAATATAATATATATATTTCAGTGTCGATAAATGACCATCGATTACTGCATCTGAGCGCTAAGTACGCTGACATACAGAGGATAGGCCACACGAGCAAACCGAATGTACCACTCACTATAGTGCGGTTTATATGGGAGGACGTTTAGGGCGCTCTCATTCACCCTCCGCTGTTCCAACGTCCTGGGCTGCTTTTCCCAGAGTTTATATGCTAAAGGTTGTTGAATATAAACCAAGTACACGAAAGCAATAGTACGGTATGAGTTTTTAAGGTATTTAATAAACCAACCTTATCCATTACTTAAGAGCGCGGGTGTTGAATACTGGACTGGAGCGGTGACTCGTGATAGCTACCAACTGGTATCCTAAACCGCAACGTAGAGCGAGTTGTCTATCAACACGGCAATAGAGCAGCTAGCGCGTACTTGCAAAGTAATACACATGACGTGTCGCATTGTGCGACTAGAGTATTCTATTGATCAAATATCCGCTATTACGAAACACGTAGTACACGAAGGTCAAGTATTTTGCATTACAGCTATGCCAAAATTGACAGCTTGGAAATGAACGGTTGAGTGTCATTTGCGCTCGTGATGTCATCGTTTATGCAGAGGCGGGCTGCTACATGCTCCATCTGTCTATGGGTGCCTTGTGCTTTGAACGGGCTCGTCAGCTCACTGCCCTCAACCCTGCGATGATGTCTCAATGCTCTCACCACTCTCCCGCTCATGAAGTCACACCAATCCACCGAAGTACGCAGAGGACTAAAAGCTCGGCAAGCAGCGTATCAGCCTCTCGCCATTTATAGCTGACGACTGAGATGCTAGAGCCCCTTGTGATGTTGGTAGTATATCCGACGCAAAATAACCGCGTGATGGATGAGCATGTGCGATTTTGCCGGATCACGTGATACACGCAGGTGTGACGACCGATTGTGAGGGAGTGCGCAGCCCCATGTAGTGATGCACCTTTAGTCCTGTAACCTAATAGCTCCCTGAACAGGTGTTGCATATCCAGCAACGCTGGCTGAGTCCCATGGTGTAGTACAGAAGGCATACCTCGACAGATAGCTGCCCTGTGTATGACTCATTTCAAGATCATCTATGTGCATCCCCATATATATATATATATATAATTCCTTGGACGTCCGTTCAAATGGTGTTGTGGTGCATATGCCAATAGCATATACTTCGTTAAAAATGTGCAAATGAATTAGGTCAATGGACTGTATGCCTCATATCTTCCAGTTGTGCCTTCCTTTCCGCCCCCCCAATAGGTCGGGTTATTCAGTTGCTGTTCGGTGCAGCTTTCCGATGTGACACTCGCTCTTGTCTAATAACTGTTTAGATTGTGTGTGTTTGTCACTACGCATGATTGTGTACACTGTAGATATTAAAGTTATTATAGTGTGTGCTGTAGTTATTTTGGTAGTGTAAAGTCGTGTATAGTCCTGCGAGAGAACATGTCAAGACTAAACATGCCTCTCCTCGCTCTAGCTAATGTGGCCCCATTTTGTCAAGTGTTGCAGTACTAACAAAGCTTAAAAGGATGGGAGGAGGGGGGGGGACTCAGTACGTTAGGATGTTTTCGTACGTTTTCCTGATGTGTTCTTCGCTTTCTCTGAAGAACGCGTGCAGCTTCGCATTCACTTCTTCACTCTTTTCCATCGCAACTCCGTGAGCAGCGCTGTGTTATCCGGATCGAGTTACAGTCACGAAAATAAGAGAAATGTATCAGCATTTGAATTGATGCCCGGCGTTGGGCTGTCGTGATCCGTGTAGCCACGCACGCCATGGTAAAGACGGTACACATAGAGTGGATTATAGACGAGACTGAAGCTTGCCCATGGGCGTGTACACAATTCTTTGAAATATCGGTTATAGCTCCGCCGTTGTTATTAATGTTCAACAACAGAAGCCGACAGCGCACGAAGATATTTCATGACAGACACAAGAAAACACGGGTAGGAATGCTGCAAACACCGATGCATGTTAGCTCATGATGTGTGCCCGTTCCATCCATCGTATAGCCCTGGCTTACTTGCCTGCATGCAACGCTCATCATACATATTTCACTCCAACAACATCTGCTCAAAAGGGCGTACGATGTGTGGTTATAGCTGTGTTAGATCTCTCTATGCGCCATATACAGCATGGCAGTCTACCAGTACCTGAATATAAGCCCAGCGCGTGCGAAAGCACTCAGGGTCGGCGTGTAGTGTACCTTTCACCCAATTCACGACTGTAGATAGAATACACAGCATGCAGCAACAGTAGCCAAGACTTACTCGTGCACCACATATAGCTCGGAGTTGAGGTGATCTGCTAGCCATACGCTGTTGCGCAGCGGAACGCAATCGTCCAGCTTTCCACAGAGTACCAGCTTCTTGTACGGCTGAAAGCGTATACGTTTCAGATCGTCTTTCCTACAGTTATGTGAAGTGTATTTACCTCAGCCAACCCCCCCACCGTGCAGAAGCAAGGTTTCGCGGCTAATGCGTGCAATACAATCGTAACTTACGCACTGAAGTCAAGGGTGTGGTATTTCCGACATTTACTGTGGAAATCCCAAACTGCTCAACTCATAACTGACAATGTATACAAACGCATCACAATCGCATGATCATATGGCGCGTCGTGGTGGTAGCCGTGCTTTCATTTATGCCTACAACGCAGAGCTATCTGCGGGGTACTCGACACGGAAACACGAATCGACCTTATAAGATACAATGAAATTCCGTGGACTACAAAGCAGAAACCAACCCAAACAAAGATACCACAGGAGTCTGAGACGTTTCGTATCCCGCTCGTGTACTACCAGTGGTCAGGATTCGCAACTCCCTCCTACTGTATGCAGGGCGATTGCTGATAGTACTGTAGTTGACTATATACAGTTGAACAGGGTGCTTCCTTCACAGGATGCATGGATGTGCCGAACTTCAAGACGTGCAAATTACAGGCACACTCTGTATAACCACAAACCCCAGAGGCTGATCAAGGTCGTGTATCTATATGCACGGAACCCTATAAAAACCCCTTTGACCCAGTCACAATACTGATCTTTGTACCAAAAAGAAGATACAACCGGTTACAGATATCAGACAACGTATCGACACTTACGTGGAATGGTGGGTCACTACAGCTCCGAACTGCAGCATACACCCGGCAACATTTATCCAACTGTCCGCACTGTAGGAATGGTATTTAGTGCAAGTAGTGGGAAGATAAGAAGATATAAGATTCGTATACTCCGGCAAATTATAACCAGCTAACAAGGTCTCCTCAGTGCATGGTTGCATCATTCAGAACGACTCTCATGTGTACTACAAAGAAGCATAGTCATCAACACAAATGAAAGCTTTGGATAGCAAATAAATACAACCGGTAATATATTCTCTGGAAATACTTTGCGTGTCTGTAGATATGCATATACATAATACGACTGGAAATTTACATCGGTAAAAGACATCACTCAAACACTTTGGTACTTTTAGCAATACGTGCGTCACGTAAGAGATGGTATCTTCGCCGGTACGTACGTAATTGTTCACAAGTCGATACGAGATATCTACCGATCCCTAATTTCTGACGGTACTACAAATGTCCTCAAATGACTGAACACATTGCAGTGTGTCCATGTGTATAGAAGCATGTGCATCACGCATAACTGATAACCTGATTCCGCGTCAATGCGCACACTACTTTCCGCAAGCGCCTCCGACTCGCTCGCATGATGATCTGGTCTAAATCCCCAAGCATCGTGCTTGTTTACAAACAGTTGTATCCGTACCTACTGCTGAAAAGAATCGTCTACCAACGTCAAACACACAGTATTTGCTTTGCAAATTTGTTCATACCGCACAGGTGCTGAGGTTCTATAGTGATAGAACAGAATGTTGCCTGCTTCGCCACATACAAGAACCCCGATTAACTTGACTTACTCAATGACACGGTGGAGACTATCCAGATGTTCCTGTTCGCAGGAATCCATTGTATCAGACGTGTACAAGAACTGCATTATACTCTTTCTGAGCATGTCTCTGCCCCCTAAAAAGGACACCGATGAGCTGTGTGTTGGAAAGTAAGACGATTGAGCGCTCGAAACGGCTGCTGATATACATACACCAGTCTGTTGCTTCAGTATTTGGTAACCGTTAAAGCATTTTTTTTTCGTCTTTGGCAATAAGATCAAATGGGACACTCGTCAGTCTGCACAACGACCGACTGCACTTACCAGCCAAATAACAATAGAAGTGGCACAGCAGATGTTAGCAATCATTGCACACCTCATTCTGATCATACCCATAGCTCACCCACAGGCATAAAGATATAACCTAACTTTCCAGAAGAAAACCAATAGCTCATACTGGTATATATTGAAATCGATATAGCAACTTACTGCACGAACTTCCGGAAACCAGACGCGTACGGGAGTGTCCTCGCAAAGTCCTCTACATTAAAACCACCGGAGAAAGTTGCCATTAGTGTGAGAGAAAGCACTCTCTCCGGCACCAGCTTCGCCAGTTCTGTGAAATTGAAGCATAGCATTTTATTTCGATTAGGCGGGGTGGACTGAAACCATTGGGTGAAAAAAAAACTTGAAGCTAATCCATCTTCGCGCATGCATTCTGGCACTGCTATGTTCTTGCTTGTTTCAGTACATGGGCTCTGTAAGTCACCACGTGGTCTTAGAAAAGGTATACACGATAGAATCGCCTAATACACATCCAACCACTAACGCTATTCATTGTCCAGTAAGGTGTTGCTGCTAGGCAACAGTTAGCAGTTGGCAATTGGGAGATACTAGTCACGCTACACTACGAACTCAAAGACATTGCACTGAAAAAGAGTTGGTTTACGCAATCAGCATGTGATCTAGATTAAGCTTATGGAGATTCGGCCTACAACCAAGTGACAACACAGAATTGTATTTGTCCACTCTTACCTTGTGATATCATGCCTCCCATACTTATACCAGCTATATGTATTGATCTGTGAGTGAATAAAAGATCAAGTATATCAGCGTAGCTCACTACGCCAAGAGCGAGTGATTTGTCCGGGCACTACTCATCAACACTGTTGATTGTTGATCTTGTTCGATACTACCAAACCAAGCTTTCCACAAAACTCCGGCTTCCAATATCTGTAGTCATGCATCCACATGCGAATGTACCTAAAGTACTGCCTTTAACCGTGGCTAAGGTTGCACAAAAATATTTTTGGTGCACTCTGTCCAGCATAACGATCTGTGTGCGAGTTCATAATATATATATATATATACATACATACATACATACATATGTATACATACATATATATATATATATATATATATATATATTATATATATATATATATATATATATATACATACCGGCGAGAATTAGACTAGCTTTCCAGTTTACAAACAGATGGCAGCATTCACATACCTGGCGTTAGTCCACTCAAGATGATCCAAGAGACATGCCCCATCTTCAGCCATGAGAGAGGTAGTATACCGCTCCAAGGGTGCACTAGATCGCCCCACACCTCTGTTGTCATAGCAACAGACATGATAGCTGTATACAAATGTTCGCAACAGCAATAAAGGTGTGGATGCCTCATTTGAAACACAATCTTAGTGCTTTATGCGAAGTCAATCGTATGACACAGTCGTACAGAGGGTAAACAATAATAATCACAGATGCCGCTTACGATCTAGAAGGGAAACAAACACAGACCGGGATTTCGAGAAGCAGTACAACAACTCTAGCTACAGAAAACAATCACGGCGCTACACGATATTCCGTAAATTTCCCTCCACCTAGTGTACATGTATTATTTCATACTTCTGTCCAGCAATATCTATTTTATACTTCATCATTCTGAACGTTATCGTAGCGAATCAACATACTCGTCCTGGAAATGCATCGCTTGCTTCAACCATGCAAGTCCCGAAGTTGCCAATCCCATCACGAATAAGATCTTTTTCGGATTGCTAGGGTCGCCAAATGTTCTGTAGTGAAGGGTCACCTTTCGAAATTCGTCTCGAAAGTACCTGTCACGTCCAAGTACCAGTGTATCGGTCAGCATATAGTTGTTAGTAGATTGAATAAGCGTTTGCGAGCGTCGCTAGGCCTTCAAGTTTGTAATGAATAACCATTTAGAACACGCAGCAAGATTATGCCTCTAACCATCATGAATATTACAGATAGGTAAACCATATAAAATATTCAATCGTGCGCCCCTCAAGAATAAACCCAATAAGAAGTAATCGTGCTCATAGCAGGTTGACAACAGCTGTCGTACAAATCGAAGCCAGCACATACATAACTTTACTCGTAATAGTAATACGCATAATGATTGATATATACCTGCTTTGTCCGTTATTCAAAACCCATGTGGAAATGGTGCACAGCCTAGAAGGTGACGATAAGGTGTGACGAAGCTCGTTATTAGCCTTCTTCTCAATCTGCATCCCTGCATCGGATACTCTCGACTTCACACTTTTCTGGTTTGTACTCGGATCTGCGCATCCCAGATCAACGCCACTGACGTATGTTGCCATGGCAACCTTTGAGTCTTCAGGCTCTATTTCTCCGGTTGTCATTACACCACTACCATTAAGACGGTCGGTCGACTTCGGCAGAATTACACAAGTGAGATCATCAGCCGAGCTGCCAAACGAATCCTGCGTATGGAAGTCGACGCTGCCAGCAACCGACATCACAATGTCTTCGTGAGGTCGTACATCCCCAATCTTCTTGCTGAGCCCCATTTTTTTGTTCTTGTTCGAGGGAATAACAACATGATCTAGGAATTGAATATGCGCTCGTTCGCGTGATCGCATCGTTGAATCGGTTTGTGCGAGTGCTCTGAAACTACCATCATTCCGCTCGGAGTCCCTATTGGTACGATAAGGCGAAGAGAGAGGATCTTGTTAGATTTGTAGCAAATCCTACATATAGTGAATAAAAGGAGAGCAGATGGTACAAATGCACTGGGAACGCTTTTAGCGGAATTTGATATATACTTGGGTGATAGCATTGTTGCCAGCTGCATTTTGGGATCGAATGAATGGGACATCTTCTCGGCCGTCCGCATAGAGGCGTCGCTTTGAACCCTGAGCATTGGTGACTGTGTATGTAGGTGGTTAACCATTGTGAGACTTGCTGTTTTTGTCGTCAATCTTTTCGTCGTCAATCTTCAAGAAAGTGAGGCATAATTCTACTCAGAAATTAAGTCAGGTAGAACATTCATATGCATCCCACACCTTCAGTAGATCCTCCATACTTAAGTTCTCAACGTATTGTAGCAGTGAGAGGACCAAATTGTACTTGCGTATTCTATCAGAGAGGAAGGCTATATGTATCACAGTGCGTGAAATATAGATGTTTTTATGTATCACAGTGCGTACTAAATATGTATTGGACAAAAAATACAAGTTGCGGACTGGTATTTTTAATGATAAAATGTAGAATCAGCTGATCTTTTTTATATATATACAATATTCAAGCACTTTTTTCCTCTTCTACCGAAATATCAATATATCACTTTATAAAAAAAGCCGGAAGCCCTCTTGTGAGTCGTGGCCCAATACTATTATTGGTTCTAAACAAAAATGACCAATGCCTACCCTCTAAACTAGAAAACCCATATTAGGTTTATGTTATTTGACTTATTTTAGATTTGTGTAGCTGTATTTTTAACACACAAAAAAGCGACAGAGTCTATCTGCTACAAACCGGGTAAACCCAAAAGCTAATTTTTTAAATCGAAACATTTTATTCGCTATGTATTCGATACAATATAAAAAGGATAATTTTCAAAATCTGCACATGACAAGTTGTCCTTTCGTAGGAGAATTCGGGCCGAATCCTAAACACTACCTTGGCGACGAAGTATGTCCTGGACTCCTGTTGGGTCAGGTGCTCGTCCCTATTTTTTAAAACTCTCATAAAAATTTCTTCTTCTAAATGAAATATACTCTCTTGAATATTTTCCGATGGCTCTATATAGTCTATGGTAAATATACTGATGTTGTGTAGACTGTCGAGGTCTCTCTCGCTCTCTCTCTCTCTCCAGACTCTCTCTCGCTCTCTCTCTCTCTCC